ACAAAATAGTTACAGAAGAATACAATTGTCAATATTACCCGAACAATACTTGATAGCATCCAAGTTAATGTTTGGCCTGGAGAGAGAATGTTTTTCAATCTCTCAGGACTACTTATACAGTAATTTTGTTCTTCTAACCAAGAATATATCATTGAGGAAACTAGACAATCCCTGTACCTGGCAAGTGAAAGTACAGTTGATACACCTTTTGTTATAACTCATGTTTGCTGTCAAGTATTTTGGTTTTTTAGGAAAGTACAAAAACTTAACTTGAATAAAAGCTTTAAAAGATCCTTAAATCTGAATAATTTAACAGGCATATAAATCTAGGCACATTTTAATAATAGTATTAACAAAACAATAATAGTGATACTATTAAATTGATTGTGATTCCTTAAGAATGTCACAAATAATTCTCTATGCTTTGCCATTTTTATTAAGACATTTCAATGAAGATATCCCCTTATTAGTCAATGAAATCTTAGTAATATGTTTATTGTTTATAGTATATTTTGTTGAAATAGAACAGTTAAATGTACGGTATTTTCAAAATTCAGGTGTAAGGTAGTCGAGTAAGTAGTGAATTAATAAGCTTAACAATCCATAGCTCATTTTTATGTCCTTCAATTTGTATAGAAAATTTAACAACTAAACTCCAAAAAACTTCAGTAAGATATGAATTTGCACAAAAATAGTATCAGTTTCTTCCATTCTAGTACGCTACATCAACCTGTGATATATAAAGCCTCATGTTATCGGAAACAGAAACATACATTGAATACTATTAAACACTATAACACATCACTTGTGTCACTCTCTCCAAGGAATAATTGGCTACAAATTATGGAGGTATTAAAACAATTCAGATATTGTTGTTGCAGTCATACACTGAAAATCAATCCCTTATCAGTATATGAGATAGTTTCTTGATTTACTAACAAAAATATTCAAATTTATGTTTTAAAATTGCATTAGTATTTAAAATGACAATTAATGTATAGTAGGCTATAGTTCTTTGTTGTATAGTTCTTTTGTCTCAAGGTGTGTTTACTATAGCAGGCATAGTTAGTTGTATCAGGGCTTTAATCGGAGGGAATTGTAAAAAGAGAATTTTTGATGCAAAATATCACACAGTCAAAATCTCAATTGATAAACATTCATTTGTCAATCTTTAAGGAATTACAGATAAATGTAATGTTTCCATACCATTACCTTAAGCTGATTTACAACCGTCTAAACAGCAAGTTAATCAATCACCTTTCTATAACATATAATATTATATATGTACATATATAACAAATAACAATGCATTCTTATGGTACAAATAACACTAAAATAGCTGGCGCAGCTAAATACCAAATTGAATTCTTCACATAGTGACTGGTAAATGTTAGCCTATGTACAAAATACTATAATGTACATCCATCATAAAACCATAATAGGCTACATGTTATTAATAATAGCTTAATGTGATTCATACAAAAATATTTAAACAAAATAAATATAATCTACCACTCTGTTGTTCGATGAAAGAGTTTCAGTTTACTAACTATGTAATACAAGTGGAGAGAAGGCAAATGCTGTGTGATATTCTTTTTGTTTCATAAACTGCATTAATTAAATTCAAACTGTGAAAAAAAACTTTATTTTAAATCAACTTAGGTACATTTGTTATTGGTAATTTAACCAGTTACTTTAAATCATGTATCTAAAAGAAACAGTAAAATTGATCAGTATTATGAATAATTGTTTTAGAAAATTAGGGATGTGTCGATTCATGATACCGATTCTCGAACCACCAATACTTGGACGTTGCTATCGGTATCTAGAATCGATTTTCAAAAGACGATTCCGATATGATACCCGACACGCCCGCGCAATCAGAAAATTACCGCGAAGGTGCAAGACAAAGACAATGTTTCCGTGACCACGTGAGATGACGAAGACATCTAGACGGCCGCGGCAAATGTTCACGAGTTTTACTTGACTGCAGGGTACGATTTTTCAGCGGTCGCAGAAGATGAAGATGACGTTTCCATGATCGCAGGAGTCAATGATGGTGTCTACACGACCGTGGAACGTTCATGATTTCGCCGCGATCGCGGAAGACGAACATCCCGTTTCTGTGACTGCGAAAGACGACGATGATGATGATGTTTCCGTGACAGCAAGAGTCAATGACGATCTTTACACGGCCACGGGTGATGTTAAATTATTTTGCCGCGAATGAAAGACGATGATGACGTTTTTGTGACCGCGGGAGTTGATGATGATGTCCACACGGCTGCAGGAGGTGTTCATGATTTTTCAGCGACCACAAATACGTGATGATGTGTCCGTAATTGAGGAAGATATTTTGGATTTTGCAGTGATGCCAAAGATGGAGATGATGTCTCCACGACCGCTGGCGATGATATTACATCGAGTTTGGCTTGACTGAAAATGACAGACTAGCACACCTCTATAATATCATTTTATTTTTGTTTCATAAACTGCATTAATTAAATTCAAACTGTGAAAAAAACTTTATTTTAAACCAATTTACATTTGTTTATATTTGTTTACTGTTAGATCTTCATTTATCCATATAGTACTTTTTAATTTGTTAAGGGTTTGACAAATTGGCTAGTTGGAATATATCATTGCTGCATAGATTTTTCTTTACTTGAAAAACACCCCATTACCACAAAAATACTTCATGGAGGGACATAAAAACAGGAGTTGGTGTAGTATAACCAATCCATTCAGAAAATTTGGTATAAAGCAAAAAATGGGATCGGTATCGAGAATTGATACATTTTGGTATCGACACATCACTATAGAAAATATACTTGTAATAATTAATGATAAACTTAACTTTCTACTGAGTTTTAGTAGCCAATACAGATACCATTCAAGAGGAATTACTTAAAAAAATCAAAGTTAGCAATGCAGAGATTAGGCAAAATCAACTTGTTTCAATACAACACTATTGAAATAGGCTTAACATAAATTCAATCATAATGATACACAACTTTTAGTTAGTGCACAATTTCTTAATAAACTTAAATGTATATATTGTCTTTATACTTGGTTTGCAGCCTATGTGTTTGGAACTATAAGAGGAAACTCATCTAATCATATAATATGCAGTAGTATTATAACAAATGTTTGAGCAAATATTTGCTTATCCAACATTATAAACCCTCAGAAGTTAAGAAAACAACAATTACAAAACTCACCATCATATTCCCATATATATATATATATATATATATATATATATATATATATATATATATATATATTGATTGACCCGGTATTTCATTATTGAAACGTTAAAATATTATTTCATTCGATCAAACAGTAGTCTAAAAACTTTACCAACCAACAACAGCTTTAGTAACGTTACTTATACTTAAACAAGAAATAATATTTTCAGTTCACAAAATAATTATCTTTCCTAAAGCTAAGAAATAGTTTTAGGCTTAAGTTGATTTCCAAAACAAGTAAAACGCCTGACATTACTCCATTGAATATTAATGCAATATACATGATATGTATAAAAATAATGTTGTTTTTTAACTAGTAGTGTCTACATATATTAGGCCAAATCAAAAACTAGTATTTTTTTTACCATGGTGTATTTTCCTTAGGCTTTACTACCTATTAATCTAAAATATGCTTAAACATAATAAAAATCCTAAAGGTACTAAATGAATTAGTTTATTACGTTTGATAGAAACCGCAAGTTTAACACATTCACTATCGGCTGATACATCAATGAAGGGTAAGCCCCCTGGTATAACCTTTTAATGGATGGAACAAAAAAGTTAGGTGTTATTAACTATGTTACATACCAATTATACAAACTAGGAGTACGCTCTGAAGTCACGTATGAGAATGAACGAAGACCATTCCATTCATACAAACAATTTGTTAACAGTAACCATATTCATATCAGCTGATTAAGCAGGATGGTTTATAGCAAGGAAACCTTGTTAAATCTCTAATTGGTTCTAAAATTTGGATGAATTGAGTGATTATGATTACTTTATTTTTTTTTTTTATAACAGATCCATTCAATTTTGATTTACCAAAACTGATAACCAGTGTGTCCAATTAAAAATACACAGTTCTATTAATAAAAAAAAAACATTATAAATGGTTAACAAATTAAAGGCCAATCGAGTGTGCTCTTTGTACATGATGAATTATGTGGTAATCTGGCTCGGTAACATAGTTTGGTAAGATAAGGACATTGTTATCTGTTGGTCAGAAAAGGAGCCATGCAATAATCCCTTCAGACCAATTAACATCTACCAACTGACTGTTGTAGCAATCATGAGAACAAAAGATGGTAAGTTTTAATCAGGCTTTATAGATTCAGTGACTATATTAATTGAGCAGCTTTCACTAACATTATGACTACTGTATGAATGTACACATCTAGAAACAACCACAGCAACTGTGGCTCACTCACAACATTAGATCCTTAAAAGTAATACTATGAATACAATGTTAATACTACTATTGAAACCTGATAATTAAGCATGGTTGTGAAAACTACTGTACCGGTAGTCCAGAAGTTAAATCATCATTTATTTTTTGTAGAAAAATAGCCAAGACACTGTGTTGATGAGCCAAGATAGATAGCTTATGTCAAAGAGGAGAATATATTACAAGTATCTTCCATAAGGGATTATAAAAATAATATTCTTTATAATAAGTGGTTTTATGTACTAGCATAAGACACTACATTAGTGTTAATTACCACACAACAATATAAAAACTTGGTTTTAAAGCAGAGTCCATTCACAACTAGCAAAAATATTGTAACTCATATGGTAGTAGTAATAAGTTATTACATATTCAAATCTGTATCTAAAACCATAGACAAATAGAATTAAATATAGACCATCAGCAGTGCTGCGGTTAGCATATGTTTTGGCATTCACCACTGCGAGCGCCGTGTAGTTACGTACCTTGTGCGTCGCAACTACACGGCGCTCGCAGCGGTGAACGCCAGAACTTACACTAACCGCAGCACTGCTGACTGCCTATACTTAGTTCTTTTTGTCTATGCTAAAACTAACAAAGCAAATAGCAAGGTTTTGAAAAATATAACAACTGTAGTTTTAAGTGCATTTAAAACTGTATTTATGTTACAAATATTGTGCTCTTATTGATTTAAGGCTCTTCCATATCTCAAACAGGTTAGTCATTCGGCTAGTTACAGCACCTACCACAATGCAATCTTGAATTGTTCTCAAAGCAATCTTTAAAATATATTCTATTACATACAACACATAGTAAAATGCTTTGATTAAGGCTTTACTATCTATCAGTTTTATATAATGACTGAAAAGAATTAAAATTAAACCTATTTGGGAATAACAGCAAAAATTATGTGAAATAAAGTATATTTCATCACTATGGTGTAAAGTGACTCTTTTTGAACCGAGCTGTTTAATGACCGAGCGAATCTGAAATCGGGAAATGAGGGAGGGTTGAAAAGACACTTTTTGTGTGATGAACTGTATTTTTTTCATAGGGTATTTGAAAAACAAAGTTAGGAAACAAAAATACTTTTTATGTAAATATAACATCTCAAGGTAATAATAAAAGGTCGGCATAGGTTGAGTTTATGGGGATATTTAGGTTATTTAATTACAACTGAAACCACAAAATCCGTTTCCGTTGGCGTTTCCTTCCCAATAGCTGCCCTGTCTTTACATTTTGTATACAGTATTTTTAAAGGATGAAATGCATTTTCAATTATTACAGACTGTAAATTTACTTTTTATAAATTGTGTAATTATTACACATTGTGAGTTATGTAGCATTCAATAAGAGTTATATTGTACGTAAATACATCAAGAAAAAATTACAACAATTATTAAAAAATTACAGGACTAATATTATAATAAGTATAATTTGTTTTAAAGATTAACTATCCAACTAAAACTATGCAATATTTTAACTTATAACTAAAAGTAATTATATCATAATATTGTACAAATGCTTTCAGCTTTTGGTCAAGACATAAAAAACATCAACACAACTCAATTGAGGTGAATATCTTAGAGTACTGTAATTGTTATATCATTGACTAAGGATACCAAAGAAAGATTTATATTGTTTTATAAGATCTGATGGGAATGTGTTATCTCATCTCTTCCAATAACACTAATGTTTGCATTGATTACTAATTAAAGTAGAGTGCCAAAGGATGGGCAATCCTTATGTAAGTGTAAGGGGAGTCACAGTAGGTATCAAACATCAGGTATGCATGAGAAGTTTGTTTTAGTATCCTTAGTGAATGTTTACACTTGCACAGTAGAACAACACACTCATAAGCAAACAATGAACACCCAAACACACAAACATTTAACATAGGGATTATTTATATTCACGAAAACCATCACAGAAAGTTAAAAAGGCAAGGAACTAAAGGCATACACATGAAATCGTTAAATACCACAAGGCAACCTATACAATCCCACAAATAATTGTATTAAATCAGCGTAAGTAATCCAAGTTAAAACTTATTGAATTGAATAATGTGTTGACTATAATGAATATTTGAAGAATATAAATTTTAAAAGAAGCATTTAACCTTTGCATCATCTCTCAAATAATGAGCACTTGGTCATGAACATTAAAAAAGGTACAAATTTTAAGTTTTAAAATGATTAAATTTTGATCCTTTTTATTGTAAGTTGCTCTCAGAATAACTTGTGATATGAAACGATTTCTCTACAGAAATTACAATGTATGAAAAAAAATCTGTTTGTAAATTATATACAAAACCTTGAAATTTTGTACACGTCAATATCTAGGCATAAATAATTTTGTTTTACAATACAAATGTAAAACAACCAAAAATCAACAAGTATTCCATAAAAATATATAGATATCTATATGTAAGATCTATTTTCCTGAAAAAACCATTACAAATATTTAACTTAAAATAACAATTAATTCATAATCATAATGAAAAATAAGTGTATAAATAAATCCTTTAAAGGTCATCCAAACCTCCATTGGCTGTGCCTTGCTTCACTTTGTCCAATACTTTGTTGACAAACTCTGTTGTGTGTCCAGCCACCTTCACTTCTGTAAAACATAAAGATAACATAAGATAATGGTTCTTAAGCCGAATGGTGTAAGATTGTGTGCCGATTTTAAGGTAACACTAAACCCTGTGTTGCAAACAGAACCACAACCAGAAGATATTTTTGCCTCGTTAGGATGCACATAATTTCAGTAATTGACCTCACTAATGACTATCAGCAGTTAGCAGTAGCAGAGGAGTCACAACACAACCCTTGTTAACAATGGAGTAAATGAGAGCAAGTGTACATTTATACAGCCTAGGGTTGAGTATTTAGGCTATGTGACCCAAGGGAATCAACCCTCAGAAAAGCAAGGAATTGTTTCAGCTATTCAAAATGCACCAGAACCATGTATAAGGGATGAGTTATGGGCCTACATTGGTTTGACTAATTACAAAAGAAAGCTTATTTACAATTAGTTCTCGAAATCAGTAGTTTTTATGAGCTTTTGAAGAAAGATCTCCCCTAGAAGTGGACCGCAGAGTGTTCATGCACTTTTAATGAAAGTAAATTGTTGGTTTTGGACTACAATATTTTGGTACATTATGATGTGTCTAAGCCACTTGTTTTAACTGTGATGCTAGCCCTAGGGGAGTGTCAGCCATTCTGTCTCATGTTATTGATGGAGAAGGGTGGCCTATAGCTTTTGCATCCACAACTCTTAGCACTAGTGAGAAATATTATTCCCAGCTAAGCTACACAAAGAAGCCTTGGCATTGATATTTGGTCTCAAGAAATTCCACAAATATATTTATGGGGGTAAGAACTGTGTGTTACAGACAGATCACACGCTTATAGTGGCTATTTTTGGATCAAGCCGTGGTGTGCTTAGCCTAGCTGCAGCAAGACTTGAGATGTGCTCTCATTCTGGCAGCATACAATTGTGAAGTTAAATTTTGAAAAGAAGCTAACTTACATCTAGCTGATGCGTTATCACGCCTACAGATACAAAAGGATGAATTCTTGGAGTTGGAGGATAACTATATTTCACATGTGGAGTCTTGTGTATAAGTAATCAATTTCTGCAGTTCGAGTGACGATTCCCCAATTACGTCCTTGGACGTAGGAAGATTGGCAGAAAAAGATCCATTGTACACAGCAAGGAATTTTTCCAACTGCTCTAAAGACCGCCAAAATATACCCAAAATATAAAAAAGGGCCACGAAGTGAACCTAGCAGCTATCGGCCAATATCCCTGATCCCAACATTCTCAAAAATAATTGAAAAAATTGTACTTGCTAGACTCCTAAGCCATCTCGAACGGCATAGCCTACTCACGAATAAACAGCACGGATTCCTCAGGGGTAGATCTACAACAACAGCCCTGATACAGTTGACAGAACATGTCATAGACCAATTGGAGGAAGGATGCTCAGTGACCAGCCTGTTTCTTGACTTTAGCAAAGCCTTTGTTTGTCTCAATCACGACCAGCTACTACAAAAACTAAGAGCCCTAGGAGTAGGAGGTAAAGAAGCAGAATGGTTTAAATGCTATCTCAAGGGAAGAAAGCAACTGGTAGAAATAAATCACACCCAAAATAACATAAACTACAAAATCCAATCTCCAACAACTGGTGTAAAAAGAGGGGTTCCACAAGGATCTGTACTGGGACCAGTGCTCTTCCTCCTCCTCACTAATGACATGCCAAACTGCATGGATGATGCCTGCTCCACTATAATGTATGCAGACGATACTGTGCTTACCATCTCTGATAAAGCTACTGAAATGCTTGAGACAAACATGATTGCATGCCTCAACCAAGCTAAACACTACTGTATAAACAATGATCTGGTCTTAAATGAAAACAAAACAGTACAAATTATTTTTAACACAAAAAATAAAAGTACAAACTTAGCACCTCTCCCCGTGCAAGCAAGCAAGCAGGAAGCAAGCAACATAACCAAATATCTAGGTATCACAATTGACTCAAAACTGTCATGGAAGCAACACATCGACCAACTTGGCAAGAAACTCTCATCAGGTACCCGCGTAATTCGAAGACTCAAACAAATATGTGGCCTGGAGATAGCTAAAGTTGCCTACTTTGCTCTTTTCGAAGCCCTCTTAAGATATGGAATAGTGACATGGGGAGGAACATCAGCATCCAATATGGAAAAGATTCTTACTCTACAAAAAAGAGCAATCAGATGCCTAGCAGGACTACACTACCAAGAAAGCAGCCGGGAATCTTTTAAACAACTAAAAATCCTCACAGCAACCTCACTCTACATTCGGGAAACCATTCTGCATGCAGTCACCTCACAACAGTTAAGACATCATGAACTACATACATACAACACAAGACATGCCACAAATTTCACCCTCCCACTACACCGCCTAACGCTTTTCGAGAAGAAACCTTCATACAAAGGAGCGCTCTTCTTCAACCACCTACCCGACCATCTAAGACGCCAGCCACCCCAACGTTTCAAGAACCAGCTAACGGAATGGCTCCAAGGAAGACCCTACTACTCAGAATCAGAATTCCTGAACACCTGACACAGCGCCGCCGCCGACGAGAGCTCTCTCTGGGCATCAAAATGTTAACTTTGTGTTATCACATTTATAAAAAAAAAAAAAAAAAAATCTTGAGCATTGTATAACTTTGACAATCTAAAATCTTTTGTTTTGACGCATGTACTATTCTCCCACGAATGTGTAAATAAAGCACATTGTCTATTGTCTATTGTTGTCGAGGGTTCAGGATTTAGTTCTTCACGGCTACTGGGGAATTCAAAATCCTATGTTGCTTCTTTTTCAGAGGAGAAGATATGAGTTATCTGTGGACAAGAATTGTATCTTGTGGGGAGGTCGGGTGGTGATTCCTAAGATGTTGAGGGAGATATCCAGACGCTCCATGACCAGCATCCTGGTTTGTAGGAAGTTGTTGGCCAGCAGCTACGTGTGGTGACAGGAATTGAAAAATTCATTGAGGTGACAGTTTCGTCTTGTTATGTATGTCAAGGCACAAGAAATTACAGTCCAAAGGTTCTATTGCAGCAATGGCCACTAGCCATTGGCTCAGAGAGATGGCTCTGAGTTCACATTAATTTTGCAGAAGATCCCACGTCAAGACAGCAGATGCTTACCCTGGTCGATAATTACTCAAAGTGGATCGAGGCTTTTTTGACGAGCTCTACATCTACTGCCAAGACTAAAGAGAAAATCCGGACTTTGTTTGCGAGCTATGGTGTGCCAAAAGAATTGGTCTCTGATAATGGTACCTTGTTCACTAGCCTTGAGTTTTGTGAATTTCTTACGAAGAATACAATGGAGTCAAATTCAAACCGTACCCGCCCTATCACCCGACATCCAACAGAGCCGCTGAGCGTTCGGTGCAGGAAGTCGAGAAAAGTCTGCTACGCCAGGTGTCGAGCAAGAAGCTTAATCAGCCTACTTCTTTACAGGACAAGCTAGATAATTTTCAGTTTTCTTATCACAACATCCCAACTGCAGTGACAGGCGTGAGTCCCTTATGACTATATATGAAATTGACCTTATATGAAATTGTATACTGAACGGTTCTTACACTAGAAGTCTAGAACCAAATTAACAATGCTGAAACCAAATTTACTAGATGAGGCTAGGAAGCAACATGAATTGCAAAAATGGGCCTACGATAGTCATAGTAGCAATAGGTTCTTTAGTGAAAGCCTGTATTAATAAAGACTGATAGGCAGGAAAAAGTTTCTTGGGTTTCCTGCCAAATTGTGCGATGTTAAATCCCAGTTAAACAAGACAAGATTACATAAGACAAGATTTACAAGATAGTTAAACCTATCTTGTAAACGTCATGGGCAAGACGAGATTTTGTCATGCTGATCATCTCAGACCAATTCAGGTGGAAGAAAATGATATTTTTGTTAGAGGGAGGAATCAAATCAAATCAAATCAATCTTTATTCATAATGTGTACATGAGTAATCATACAACAGAATAGTGTCATTTCCCTATAGCTAACAGGGCTTATAACTACTTTATCTTACTAATATTATAAATCTGAAAGTTTGTGAGTTTGTGTGTGTGTGTGTTGCTCAATCACGCATAAACTACTGGATGGATTGGGCTGAAATTTGGCATGATGATAGCTCACATTCCCGATTAACATTAATGCATATTCTTATCTCAAAAATCCTTTCGGGCTCCGCCCCAGTGGCTCTGTAGTTCCCCATGTTAACCTTATGATGTATCATATTTAAAAGGAATTAATGAATCTTAACAGCTGTTTCCATTAAACAAGTTGGTTCTGTTCTATGATGTTCAATAGCATAAAAGTTACAAGGATTGCCAACAGGGTGCAGTACTATTATTTTTTTTAATTTATGACAACAGCTAATTTCCAACCAAAAGGTGAGTGAGCGTAGCGAACGAACTTCAACCTGGAGGCGAGTTAGTGTAGCGAACGAGCTAACCTGAAGGCAAGTGAGCGCAGCAAACGAGCTCCAACCTAAAGGTGAGTGAGCGTAGCGAACGAACTTCAACCAGGACGTGAATGAGCCATGCGAATACTTATGAAGTTAAACGGGGCAAAGCCCGCGGGTACAGCTAGTAATACATATTTACAACTTGTTATACTCCTCAATTGAATAAATAGGATTTGATATAATATAATGGAAGTGCTTGATATACCATAGGCTTGATCAAGATAGGCTTGATCAACCAGAACCAGTGACCATCAACGTGTCGCTCACAGGTCACAGAGGACTGTGCGCAAACCAGATTTAAACTGGATTTACAAGTGTGTACACACAAGTTGACACTTTTGCTACCGCAATAGTTCAACATTTTTCATTCATAAGGACCAGCGAATCACATATGCGACAGCCGGTTTCTACCCATAGACTGACGTCGCATATTTGCGTCAGTGTTCCAATGTTATTTTATTAAAAAGTTTATAGTTAATTTTAGTTAAGTTTGGTTAATTATATCTTTGTAATGGTCTATTTGAAGGCCCTGAATTCTCTGCTGTGGTATACAGGGACGTCTGTTGCACAACTGGGT